TGGGTGATAACTTGGAGTGGAAAAAATTGATGTCAAGGACATTGAAATGGCATCTGTTTTTACCCAGGCTAATTACATGGGTAATGAATGGCTGATGAACCCTTATTAATTTTGAGCAAATAATCTACAGTTTGCTCTTGGGAAAAGAGCTCTAGTGGTACAGAAAACTTCCTGTGACAAGCCAATTCTGGATCTCTGCATACTATTCCTATAAAAATAAAAAAGCCTTTGTCTCCACACACTTAAAATTATTGTGGAACATAGTAAGAGATGGAAGCATTTAGGCAAAAACAAGGGGGTTATCTTAGGCATAAACATCATTCTTTGGGGTTCCCATCACATGTTAGGGACAGAAGCATTCTTTCTCTTCCACCATGCAAAATCAGTGCTCCCAGCTGGCAGCCTGGCACTGGTGCTTTTATCTCAGTGCCAGTGTAATACTAGAGTGATTTGTGGGAGGCTGGCTGTGTAGTCAGTGCAATTTGTTCCTAAGGGAAACAACCACCAATTTCATGTATATTCCGTTTTGGGAACTCTGGTCATGGAAGGAGAATATGGTGAGCTTTTCCTGGGCAGTCCCTAGAACTTAGAAAACCATTGCTCCCAGTCTTGCCCTTGTGCCCACTTACCCTTACCCAGTGGTTACACAGACTCCCCTCTGGCCCAGTGCTTATCAGTTGCCAGCAAGCAGCAGCCCAGGGGATTAGAAACACCCACTTAGTCTACCAGGTCAGGAGGTCAGTATGTGAGCACACAGTGGTCTCTACCCTCTAGGTCAGGGTGCACAGGCAGCTGGAGTTAGAGCCCTTTGCCTCACTCTCCAGTTCAGCCTAGCAACCAGAGCTCTCCCTGAATTGCTGAATGTGTCCTGCTCTCTCCCTCAAAATCACACACCTTACTCTCAATTACAGCATCTGAGACCACCAAGCCGCCAAGAGGTCAGAGCTGCCCCAGGTCCTCCCTTCCCCTTCTGGCTTCTGCAAACACACCACTAACCTGAGGGAGCCCGTAGTGTGAGATAGTTCAGAAACTCAAGGAAGAACTGAAGGATGCTGAAAGCCTCTCAAGGGCAATGAACACTTTGGCTGCCCTCTTTTTTCTCCAGTCCTATTCTTCAAGCCCAGAGTCTACAAAAGGAGAATTGTAGGCCACGTGGCATCAGAGCCTCTAACTTTGACTTTCTCACCCTTCCTTCCTGGAAGACATTCAAGTGGGGATACTTTGAGGTGAGAAGAGGCCCCTGGTCAGTACCTGGGATGACCACTGTGGGTAACCGAGATGACCTTGTCTTCCAGGGCTTCTGGGGTCTCTTATCCTTGAGCTGGGTTGCCCCCAAAGCAGGCTTTTACCTCCAATGTGGTCTTAGTTTAAAAAGTGGGCTCACACTCATCTACCCCACAGCCTTGCAGTGGAGCTAGTGTGGGGCCAGTGACGTGGTCCCTGTCACTGCTAGAAGACAAAACTATAGAGAAGATTTTGTGGTCTTGGGAAGATATGCAAGGCATATACGTTAGAAAAGAAAGCATTCCTGTATCTGCTACTAGGGCTGCATACAATTTATTCCAGTGCTGGGAGACAGAAAGGAATGAGCAGGGGCCAGTAACTTGTTTCTTATCTGGGATATTTCTTGGCAGACCTCAAAATGAGACCATCGCAGTGGGGAGGTGACTGGGCTGGGGCCAAGAGAAGAGGCTTGCCAGCACCGTCAGCTGGCAAACCTAAGAGGAAAAGTGAGGCCTGGTCTCTGCCCCGTTCCTGTTCCCCACCTGTTTCTACTCTTTTTCTCCCCTTTCCCTAGCTCTGCCAGACTATCTCCCTGGGTGCCCGCCTCCCCACCCACCCCTGGAGGGCGGGGCTTGGCTGTACCCACGTGTGGCGGAGTTATATGCTCCTAGCCAGCAGAGAAGCTGGAGAGTGTGGCACGGAACCGGCTCAGGCAGAAAAGCAGCACCATGGCTGGCAAGAAAGTCTGCATTGTAGGCTCGGGCAACTGGTAAGCGGCTCTGTCAAGGGGAATGGGGGAGTCCCCAGGTACACAGGGGGCTAGGGAGGAAGGCTTGGTAGGCAGGAGGCAGACAGTGGGCAGGGAGTATCCCCTAGTTCTTCTTCCACCTCTGCTACTATCTTCTGTGCCTACCCCCGAAGGACAGATGGTGCCCAAACCTCTCCTGGGCCCTGCCTGACCAGCAGTTGCACCTGTTTGCCATAGGAACGGAGCCTCCCGAGTGCTCCCTGCTCAAAAAGCTGCTTGGGTTTGAGGTGGGGGTGGGTAGATCAGATGGCTGGCACCCTTCAGCAGCAAAGTGTGAGGCAGACTGAGTCTCACTAGAGACACCGTGTCATGGGGGTAGGGGATGTGACAAGGAATGTGGCTAGTAAATAATCTGGTGGGCTGCCATGATATCCCGAGGGAAAACACTGCCCCCTCCCCTGCCACTGTTCCTCCCTCACGCCCCCATTCCTCCACTTTGTGCTTCCCCTCCCACCAGGGGCTCAGCCATTGCCAAGATTGTGGGTCACAATGCAGCCCAGCTGGCACACTTTGACCCACGGGTGACCATGTGGGTGTTTGAGGAAGACATTGGGGGCAGAAAGCTGACAGAGATCATCAACACACAGCATGAGAATGTCAAATATTTGCCAGGGCACAAGCTGCCCCACAACGTGGTGAGCCCCTACACCCTGCAAAGAAGAGGGAGGGAAGTGGAGGG